CCCAGGCAGGTCTCGAACCCACGAACTCAGGCAATCCACTCACCTCAGCCTCCCAAAGGCACGGGATTACAGGCTGAGCCACCGAGCCCGGCCATTCTAGCCTTTTAAGTATGGCTTTCATTTTTTCAAAAAGATGTACTGTTTTACTTTATATAACTTGGGGAGGGGGTGATTCTTTATCATTACCACAGCTTTATGTCTATCTCTTAGCACATCTTATTTGCCATATTCGCCATGTTTTTTATTCTACATATACAATTTTTTAAAACTTTTATTGCTCTTACATACTGAGCAGTATGAAAATTTAACAAAGATAGAATTACTAAAATCTACAAAAAAGCAGCAAAGTATAATCTTTAGCAGTTTAACATACAAAGAGCAATTTTTATCTCTAAATAAAACTTTATTCAGCCAAAAGAATCCATATTAAGTGTATGAAAGTGTCAAAATAGTTTGTTTCTCTAAATGCTACAGGCCCCCAATGGAAGTCTCATAATTCATACAGAGACCATTAGAGGAGAATAAGATGGTATTCAAAATGTACCTGGGAGAATGAAAAACATTTTAGCAGATAGTAATTGGCAATTAAAACATTCTAAGATTAAGGAATAGCATGATAAAAGGCACAGCACAAAAACGTGTTTTCAGGATAGAGAGTATTTTGTTAAAGTGTGTACATAAAGCAGAAAAGTAGAAGAATACAATGGGAAATAAAACTGGCTACCTAAGGTAGGACATATCATTAAACTTCACTTTGTAGGCAGTGAAGAATCATCAAAATGTTTGGAAACAAAAATGGCATCAGCAAAACCTGTACTTTAGGAATAGAATGCTATCAAGGGACTAAAGAAGAGATTAGAGATTTATATGCCTAGAGGCTGCAAAGTGAAGGCAGGACCCACATCTGTCTTGTTCCTTGTGTAGCACCAGTCAGCACACAGGACACTGCACCCAGTAGGCAGCCAAGGAAAGAATGAGGCCATTGTAACAGTCCTAATGAGAAATTAGGGCCTGAACTAGGACAGCCACGGTAGATAAAGAGAAAAACAGACTCAAAACATGTTAAGGGTAAAAATCAACAGAACTTAGTAATAATTTAGAAGTACATGCAGGTTGGGGAGAAGACATTACAGACTGAAAGTTTACTGAGTGGCTGAAATTTTGGTGATGTTTAAAAAATCTGCCTTATATTAAGTTGAATATGTTAAATATTTATGCAAAAACCCCATTACAAGAAGTGATAAGTTTACAAAAGATCTTGAAAGTCATTTGGTTTTAGAAAAACGTATTATATGTGTAACATCAGGAATATTCATTTTACTCTATTATGTTTTACTCAAAACTTACTTTCTCCATCACCATCTTTATCAAATTCTTCTATCATTGCTCGAAGTTCTTCATCACTCATGTTTTCACCCAATTCTCTAGCAACGCGTCGCAAATTCCTTAAGCTTATTTTACCCGAATCATCATCATCAAATAGTTTAAATGCCTTCAGTATTTCTTCATGCGGATCTCTTTCCAATATCCAGTCTGTCACTACAGTTAAAAAAAATTTTTTAATAAACCTGCATAATCACAAAGGCATTCATTTGCGAAATCAACTAAATAATAGAAGAAAATTAAAGCTGTAGTTCTGTCAACATTTAGTCTGACAATAAAATGTCAAATTGGATCCCCAAAACCCAGAGATAAACCTAATTAGAAAAACCAAATTCAAATTTTAATTTTTAACCTTTTTATTATCAACAACTTGTCATATTATAAGAGTAAGCAAAACTATATCATACAGAGACAAAACAAAAAGGACAGTATCTATACCACATTTACCTAAGGTTTACTATTATCAAGAATTATACTGAGCTTCCCTGACATCAAGCACTCAAGTAAAGGAGTATCTAACCTATTTGTGAAGAGACAAATAACAAAATAGTTCAAGCTAACTAGATGCAAGCTGTTTGCTGGCTAACCTTGCATTAACACTGATTCTTCTTCAAATTTAATCCAACTTAAAAACAACAAAAACAACAACATCAGTGATACCGGCACAATCTCAGACAGCAGATGAAAACTGCACTGATATCTTAGTGATTACAAGAACCTCTTGGCTTTCCAAAATGTGGAAAGTAGTAAAAAAGATTGAATCTAATTATAGCAAGAAAACCCCAAAAAAACTCTGCAAAGAAGGTCTTCTTAAAGCATATCCATTTTGTTTGGAAAGATAACTCTCAGACAACTACCTAAAAATAAATGTAATTTCAAACTTCAATAATAATAGTATATTTTAATATACTAAATATAATCATATATAACAATATTGTAAGCTTAAATGTTTTCAATTTTACCAGTCTTTAATCAATAGCCACAATAACAAAGATTGAAATAAAAGACTGTGGTATAAAATTTAAGCTACTAGATAAAATTCTAAAAATACCTAAGTAAGTATCTCTGAAGTGATGTACCACTATAAGAAAAGGTATTTATGACTTTCACTATGCCATTAAAAATAACTCTGTCCTGAGGGATACAGAATCACTAAAACAAATAACAAAAATAGCAACTGCTTATAGATGGTAAATATTGGAATGTTTAAAGAACCCAGAATAAAAAAAATACAATCCAAGTCTCCAACAAGTTATTGTTTTGCTGCTGTTTCATCCATATTTGGTTGAATAAGCACCTATTCAAGCTAATATTATACCATCTACACATATATTCAATAGTTTCCTTTTATCCATTAATGTTATCCAAAAAAGCTTCCAAGTAACTAATTGAGTATATTACTATAAGTATGCAAATCATCAAAGCTCATAAATATTCAGTCAAAAAGGAGCTGGCATATCTACAGCCATAACACCAAAATAAAATACCACACTTAACTCTATGGCTCATACTCAACTTATTTTGAATTTAGTCCCAACAAAAAAGCAGGACAAGGAAAAAAAGTGTTAAGAAATTTTCTTTACCAATTAAATAATTTACATGACAGGTGAACCAAAAAAGCAGCTTGCTGAAAGTATTAATGTACTTAAAGAAGCAACAGGGTGATCTGGGGAACAGATGGGGCTTCAAGATGTATAAATTCTTATCCCACTGGTGCTTTAATTGTGTTAGTTATTTCAGATTTAAGTGTCTATATTTTATCAATACTATCCCTTAAAATGCAGCTTTTTTTGGAAATTATGAATGCCCATCATTCTAAACAGCTAACATATTACCGTATATAACTTTATGGTGACTCTCCTCCACATCTTAATGTTCTATTCCAGTTCTACAAGGTAGAATTTAATTATAAGAAATATATTTGTTTTCAATGAAAATATAAATAAGTTGACATAAGGGCAATTAAGATGAGTTTCAGCTATTTCAGAAAACTCCAAATTTCTGTCTACATAATTCTATTCTCAAATGATTTAACTATATATACTATCAGAAATGTACTTCATCAAAATACTTAGATCTTTGACAAATAAAAACCATTTATGAATGCAGCAAATTCAAAAATACCACATTAAAAGTAAATAAACAATCATTAAAGGTAATGCTAGAAATACAGCCTTAACTATATTTCTCAATGCCTTTGGAAGTTTCTATCCAAACATACCAGCTACTTTAAACTCCGCATGTTGGACTCCAACTCCTACCACTACCACCATGGTAGCTGTAGCTGCCTTCCCAGCCCCCAGCCCCACCAAAAGACAACAGCATCATTTGCAGCTAGTTTCTCATATTTGAAAAGTATAAAACCATTTTCAATTCCATAAACCTAACCAGTGATTAGGTCCCACAGTCGTGAGAATACTATCTTTTTTATTCTTAAATGTATCCTTTTTCTAGTCATCCTCACCGTGCTCAAGAAGTTCAAGTATTTTCTGTCTGCAGTATCTCTTCCCTTCAACTCATCTTCAATACTCTCATTACTTATCTAAGATATATCACATCCCCTTCCTTAAAAAATTGCAGTGGCCGGGAACGGCCACTGCACTCCCGTCTGGGTGACAGAGTGAGACTCCAACTCAAAAAAAAAAAAAAAATCTTCTGCTGACTAAAATTCAAACTTTTTATGGTACTCAAGATTTTACCGATCTGGTCCAGTCCTATATTTCTAGTCATTTCCTTACTCTCTAGCCCAGAAGACTACCTGAAGTTTCCCAAACACACTCCCAGTACCATTCTTGGTCGTTGCTGTTTTCTGTGCCTGGAATGCCTTTTCTCTATTCCTCTTGCAATCTTCTTTCTCCTTAAAAAGAAATCCTATTCACATTTCCAGAGGCCTAAATTTAAAATCTCTGCAAAGTCTTCAATTCCTCTACATCAGGGATTAACAAATCTTTCCTGTAAAAGGCCAGATAGTAAGTATTTTAGCCTTTGTAGAGGACTATGAAGTCTCTCTCTAACTACCTACTCTGCCATGGTAGCCCAAAAGCTGCATAAAATAATGGGTGTGACGGTATACAGGCAGCAGCTGAATTTGACCCAAGGACTATTGTTTGCTGACTCCTGCCCTAGGCAAAATTACAATTTACCACCTAGAACCATAGCTTGTTATATCTATATTTTAATTTTAAGCAAGCACCTTGAAAGAATAACCTCTTAGTAACTTTTAACTAATTCCCATCCCTCGCCTCAGCACAGTACCTCATACCAAAAAATTCAGTGTTAAATAAGTAAAATGAAGACAATAACACAATATTCGAGTCTACGTAGGCAATTAAGTAATAAGCAGGCCAAAAACAGTCAAGAGTACAAACATGTGACTGACTTATGATACTGGTCCTACTTTAATGACAGTAATTCCTTAAACATCTGTTACTAGCCTCAGGCTGCCTTGACTCTAAACTTACATTAAATACCATATTTTAATGTGTTTTCCGTACAGGGAAGAATTCAGTTTAAGTGTCAGACTTCATCTAGATATATCCGTGGGACAGGATCCTTAGGCAATAATGGGTAACATAAAACTAAGACAAATGTTCTGATTTAAAATCACTTGTCCCAAGGTATAAAATGTGTATTAATCTGTGGTCAGATATTAGTTAAAAATAATCAACAAATGGGGGAATACATAGTCCTTGACTGTTTGATTCCTAATCAATAAAACATTTTTATTTGACAGCTGGTACTCTCAATAGGTATCCTTAAGATAGTTAATGTATGTGTTGACCCTGTCCAAGGTTAATCTTTGAGAGTCAGAGCTGAAGTTTAGCCATACCTATTTATTCTAGAAGAAACCCAGCATTTCTGCTCTGTTAATAACAGAACAGATGCGGTGGCAGGACTAGGTGGAGGGACAAGGAACTCTGATCTCAACTGCTAATAAAAATCACAAGTTTAAAATGTATTCACTTAATATGAAATAATATTTTGTAAAGTTATTAATGATGATGATATAGTGTTTAAAATAGCCTTTAACTATGAAAAAAAAGACAATGAGGAAAATACACAGAGTAAGATACTTTCTGTGTCCCAATGATCATATATGATTATTTCCAGCCACTGAAACAAATGAAACAAAGAAAATTTTTCAAAGTAATAATAACAGCACTTACAATATGCCTGGCCCTTTTCTAAGCACTTTACATATCATTAACTTACTTAATCCTCACAAGAACCCTATGAAAGAGTACAACTATCCCCACTTTAGTTGAAAATGAGGCACAGAGTTGTAAAATGACCAAGCTATATAGCTAGAAGGTTAACAAACCCAAGGCCTAAACCAAGGGAATCTGTCTGGTTCCACAAAATCCCATGCTAAACCATTACACTGTACTAAATATACCTGAATTATAGTTACTTCCTAATATTATCATTTCCACAATATCCTAACACCTTGATTCTACAAATAATCTAAGTTAAAACTAAGACTATGCCTTTGGGAGGCTGAGGTGAGTTGATTGCCTGAGCCTGCGGGTTCGAGACCCACCTGGGCAGGCGAGACCTCATCTCTACAATTCATCAAAAAAATCAGCTGGGCGTGGTGGCGTGCGCCTGTAACTCTGGCTACTCGGAAGGCTGAGGCAGAAGGATCGCCCAAGCCCAGCAGGTTGAGGCTGCGGTGGCCGGAGGCGGCCACTGAACTCCAGTCCGGGCGACAGAGTGAGATTCCACCTCAAAAAAAAAAAACTAAGAATACTACAATCATAAACCCCAGGAGCTTATGAACCATACTGAGGGAACAAAAAGTGGCTCTCTCCCTTCCCTCAAATTAATTCTACATATTAGGAAAAAAATGTTCCCAAAAGGGACAAGCTACCTTCCTAAACAGTCATCTAGTTCCTAAGTTGGGAATCTTCTGTGCTGTGGTTTTTCTCTTAGGTTTATCATTTACATCTCCTCTGCTTTTGATTTGAGTTTTCAGATTTAAAGAATAAAAATGACTAATGATAGGAATCTATTTTCTCTACTAATAGCCATTTCTTTTTGCTTTCCTATATTGCATCTTGCTATGTATTTAAAATAAGGGGCTTCTGGGTATAACTGAATGTTTCCAAATTTTTAAGATATCTTAAAATAATTATATGATATGCTTATTTCAAGACCCATTGGTTTAGAAAAGAGCCTTAATAGAAATAAATCTGAATATTTATACTTTCTGTAAATATATTCTAGGCAATATATTTAACTTATAATAGCAAAGTCTTTGCCTTCCAGAATCCTCTATTTTGAAAAACCCTGATCCATATATACTATAAAGAAGTCACTAAAATCAACCATACAAAAATTTAGCAATATGAAGCCCATGACACATTATCTTCAGTTGGTGGTTCTAAAATGTTTTCTCCTGTTCCCAGTATGCCAACTGCCTCTTTGACTGCAATATTCTCCCTACTTCTAACTCTAAACAGATGACTTTACTCATTGAGATCAAGGTCATCCAGAATATGCAGCCCCTCATAAACTCTGTCAACCTGAAGGCATGCGTTTCATCTACAGCCAAAGATACCAATTGCTACCATTTTCCTCTTCTCTCACTTTGCCAACAAAAATCACATACCAAAAAGGTCTTAGGAAATATTTTCCAAACAGTAGGATACAAAATTTTGTTTTATTACATGAAAATAATTTTGTGGTCACCTTTCGAGTTTTATCACATAATACTTATACACATAACTTGGAAAAGCATCTTTCCACCAAAAGCTAGAGAATAGTTCCTTGGTTAGAATCTTCAGAGCAAAACAAAAGACAAAACTATAAATCTCACAGCAAGGTTGTAAATATTTTTTGTTTGAAAATTGGAGGGGAAAAAAGGAGTTCAAAAAGAAACTGAGTAAAAACCACATTATACACCAATGTTCAATAACAAAATTCCATAACTCAGATTTTTAAAAATTGATATTAACCCGATAATTTCCTAACCGCTGCTGATTACAAAGACTATTAAGATACACACCAACTTCATTAAAATCTTCAAAGGTGATTTTCCCTGTGGCTTCTCTGTCATAATCTTTAAGAATCTTCAGTACATCAGCTTTTTTTACATCAAACCCCAAGGCTCTCATTGCCACCTTTTGGATTGAAAGGGAAAAGCAAATTATAAAGCACTATATAAGAGGAGTAATTTCTAATTCTTAAGTAAGTTTTTACATCTTAAGAGATGACAATACACTTATAAAATATAACTTGTGTGTATGTTTTACATCTCTAAAATAACTAAGTGATAGTGTAGTTGTTCTTCGCTACTGAAATTAAATGCAAATTTTTTAATCTACATATTGCTTTTTTAATGACAAACAATCCACAAATGTTTACAGAATACACGAAATACAATGCACTGACAATGCACAGATAATTTAAAACAAGCTATTTGTTCTCAAGGGTTTAACAACCAAAATGGAAAAAGGCATGGCATAAATATTAAAACTATATGACAAAAGGAATAAAAACATTAAAATAAGATTACCTGCATCATTAGTTATCATGTAAGTAGAGGTATACTACATGTTGTCTTTCTTGGAGAGATTCGAGTTACTTCTTAATGGACAGATGTAAGGGAGAAGAAGGGCATTTGAAAAGGGTGACTGGTATTAAAACAGACACCAAAACAAAGAATAGATTTGAGGGATAGTGAATGGAGCAGTTTACCTCACCTGAATGGGACGAGTTCAGGTGGAAGAAAGCTGTTAGCAAATGAAAAAAGTAGATGGTAGCAAAAGTGCAGATAGCATTCAATAGAAATCAAAGGGATTCAGCAACAAAGAGTCAGTAAGGGTTTATGAACAATGAACAACATGGTGAAAGAATTTCTGAAAGATAAATCTAACGGTAGTAAACAAGGTGAACTAGAGGTAGAGAAGCCATGTAGGAAACTCCTGGTATGAAATACAGTCCCAAACCAAGACAGTCAATGGCAACAAACGAAGAGACATAATAAAGGAGGAACGGATCAAATCTGGACAGCTAAAAAAAAAAGTGGGAAAAGAGCTAAAGAGGACAGCAAGTTGGAGAAAGCTAGACTTACAGGCCTCCTATTGTTTTCATACATTCTATCCTGTCATTGCACAGTGTCTACCTCTACTTGGAATTCCATGCCTAAAAATCCATTCCAAAGTTGCCAAAATTAAAACTACCAAATAAACATTTACACTGACCTTCCCATTAAGGCCACTAAAAATTCAAAAATGCTATTTCTCCCACTATACTGAATGTAAGATCCATCTGACCCTAAGCACCAATTTATTCTTGTATCTTGATAAATAATACTAAGAGTTAAAGTTGACATTTTATCTATTAGCATGTGTCAACATGAGACAGCACTTACGTTATTTGCACCAGAGCAAGTGAATTGAGGCTGTTACTAACATGTCTAAATGAAAATAGTAAAAAACAAATAACACTTCCCTAATCTGAAAAAAGTGAGTCACTAAAAAACAAAAACAGTGGGAAGAATATGGAAAGAACAGTTTAAATTCCATAGTTTGCAATTCTTTAATTATGTGAATGAAAAATAAGCATCTTCTACACAAATGTATTTTTACATTTAAAACACTATTCATTTTTACCATGTGAAAAAGATTGTCTAAAAGCTATGTTGAGTTCTATTCAGTTTTATTATAGCATCTAACTGGGAATGCTTAAAATGGCGTCACAGTTCCAAGACCAGTTTAAATAATTATTTAGAAATGTAATGTAAAGCAACTGTCAAAATGCACATCATTTTAACAGAAAAGTACGCATTTTAAAGTTTACTATTACCTTTAATTCGTGATAATCTATTGCTTCATCTTTGTCTGTATCAAACAGTTCAAAAGCATCTTTAATTTCTTGTTTCTGTTCCTCAGACAGTTCTCTTCTTTTTTTCCTCTTTGTTTTGTCTACTACAAGCTCACTTCTAAGTAATAGAAAGAAAAAGTCTTTAGTCCACTTTAGGCCAATTCTCTTACGCAAATTAGCCAATGAATGATTGTCTAAATTTCAAAAAAGAAAGTATTCTGGAGAATAATTAAGGAACTTTCCCTATATGAGTCAATGTTCTGCTTATTCATAGTCTAAACTGCTATAAATTTGCACTTCCCAACACTGTGATAGATTATTAAACGAAATGAGAACCAAACTTTTCCTCTTCTCAGCTTTGTATTTATTCCCACTGATGTTACCGTGGAAGAAACAAGAACTGTGAATAAGAAACATATTTTTCTGTCAAAAACTCTAACCAAAAAAAAATTATTCACACATCATTCTCCAAGAGTGTAAAAAAAGGAAAAAAAAATCCTCTAAATAAAAGTAAAATTGATAATTGACGGTCACTATATTTTGGTTTACTTCTGAAGACTTTTACGATTAAGTTCACAAAATGACTACCAAAAAAAAGGGAACCATATAATTAAATTAACTTATAAAGGATTTTGGTATTGTTGGCTTAAAAGGTTTTCAGATTACACGTTTCTAACAGTTTGGAACTTTTTGCCATTTCCTCCATCGATATTAACACACCATCCAAATATTTAAGTCTAATCATACCATAAACATTAAATGCCCCAAAAAGCAAATATTTGTGCCTCGTTCTGTACAATCATGTGAAGAGTCTTTCAAGTCTCACTTCACGTGTAAATTATAGGTTAAACTTCTCATAGCAAACTCTGAAAAGCTTTAAAAAAAAAAAAAAAAAGCAAAGACTATTTTAATGCCAAAATGTCTTCCCGAAGAACTGCCCATCTAAAACTGCTCTGAGTTTTCACACTTGGAGAAGAACACGTTTTGTGACATTAAATCCTGTAACACTTTAAAATGTAAAAACCAGTCGGTTGTATTAAAACGTTATCGATTTGCATGTGAAAGTCGTTTTGGTCTTTTTGAAATCTACCAAAAAAGAAACCTGTAAAGTGAGCAGCGGTTGTGGCCCGATCTGCACAACCTGGGTAGCCCGGGTCAGTCATTTCTTTCCCAGGACGGAGAGGCCAAGTCGGGTTCTCCCCACCCGGTTGCACCACGATCATCGCTCAGCAGAATTCAGAACGTTTTTATGGGGTGGCCAACGACACCGGCGGATTTAGGGCACCACGTCTACACAGGGAGAGGGGGCAACCGAGGGTTCCAGGTCAGAAGCGACTCAAAGAAATGCAAGAAACGTAGGAAGCCCCAGAAAGGGAGAATGTCAAAGTCACTGCAGTGGGCCTCCGGTGACACCGCCCCGCAGGGCCCAGGGAGAAGAGCAAGGAGGGGTTTTGTGTGACTTCCAAGTGTACGAGTGAGTGACGGGCCAGCACCGAAGGTACGAAGGCCTCTCCGCGACCTAGTTTCCCACGGAAACAAGGGGCAGAAACCTCGCGATATTTCACTCCCTCCTCGCCCGCAGATCAGTTCACCTTTTTAGCGGCCTAAGCCCAACGCGCTGACGGAAACGACCGCTTCGGCAGACATGCGCTGAGCCATGCACGGGCACGCGAGGCCCTGAGGGAAGGGTCCGGGAAGGCTGCCCTGTGCGCCTGTCCCTCGTCCCAAACTGCATCCCCTTCGTCGCCTCGGCCTCAATGGCCGCCCTTCCACACGCACCCGCCCTGGGCCCGCTCCGGGGTGTGGGGAACATTGTCACCTCTTTATTACCGACCTCAGAGCTAAACTCATTTTCTCTTCGGACAGAGACGTTCCCCTCTAGAACGATTTTAAACCCCTACCCACGGCAGCAAGACCTCCTCGGGCCGTTCAACGGACGCGAGCGACCTCCGCGGCCTCAGGGACCGCCCATAAGAAATACACTTCTGAGCCGGATTGGTGGAAACGTCGCTAATGTCCCGCCTGTCAGGGCGGAAGCGTCACTAGTTCTTTGTGTTCATTGGGCATATTCCGCGTCAATCAAATAAACCTTCTGTCCCTCACGCCCTTTAGATTGGCCAGATGTCTTTTCCCAAAAACCTTTGCTGGTGGGCCTCTTAGTCCCCGCGTGGCTGACTGTGGCATGTTGTGGCGGGTCTTGGTGGTCGTTGGGCTGGTTTCCCGAGCCCAGGCAAATCATTGTGAGGATGGAAGGGAAGGGACGCGCCGGAGCCTGTCCTCCGGCTAAGGTGGTGTAGCTGGGTAAGGAGGGCTGCGAAACTTGGCTGCACTCTGTTCTCAAGTTTTGGGTAGACTGATCCTGGGCAATTTGTTTAAAACTCAGATGACCATGCTGATGCCTCCACTGTCACCTCAATAGATGTGACTCCGCCTTTGTCCCCCTTGCAGCTGTCCAGGTGATCATGCGGCCGGTGTTCTGGACTATGCTTGGGTTGTCATGGTTAGGTCATCAGGGTATTTACAGTAAAGCTGTGCCTGACCCGCCGCTGCTCTCCTTGTCCTCCTTGAACGAATTTGTTCGCCTCTGTTCCAGTTGTACAGTGCTGTAGGCTGTTTACATGTTCGTCTGGCTTACTAAGCTAAACTTCTTGAGGGTCAGAATTCAGTCTCCGTTTAACGCTGTTCCTGGTGCCTAGTGAAGTGTCTGGTGCATAGGTGCTCAGTAAATGGTGGTTGCGTTGGAGTCTTGCTTTGAAAACGCACAAACGCTGAACTGAACTGCAAAGACCTTAAATGTGAATGAAGTAGCCTGGGTGTGGGAACTGGAGAAGGAAAGAGGGAGAACGCATAGCATTGCCTGTTTAAGGAGTGTCTGTAAAGGCTTAGAGAAGAGAGAACGCAGCAAGGTAGAAGGCTCCTGAAGGAGGTGGCATATGTTAGCCCTAGAAGGCTGAACTCAGTTTGGACAAGTAATGTAGTGTGATAGAATAAAACTAAAAAGTAATAGCTAAGGGCTAAAGCCCACAAAAAAAGCAAACAAGTGGAACATTTAAATTGTAAAGTACCTTTGTAAATCACCTTGAGTCCGGAAGGAAAGTAAAAATGCAGTTACATGCTAAAATACAATGGTACTGAAAACACTATATGTTAAAATTTTAAGATACAGACTGAGTTATAGGAGAAAACTAAATAATAAAATAAAGCAAGCATTTATTGATGTTAGAAATGAAAAAATTGGCATCCCACATGACCCAGCAATCCCCCTATTGGGAATATACCTGGAGGAACTCAAATCATTCTACAAAAATATACCCTCACACGCATGTTTGTGGCAGCTCTATTCACAATAGCAAAAACACGGAACCTACCATGCTGCCCATGGGAGTTGAACTGGATTAAAAAAATGTGGTACATACACACAATGGAACATTATGCAGCCATGAAAAAGGACAAACATATACTTTGCAACAACTTGAATGGATTTAGAGTCTATCATACTCAGTGTTTTAAAACAGAAACAAAAAACAGAGTACCATATGTTCTCACTCATAAGCGGACCTTGAACAATTATCATAACATGATAAGGAAGAGACTGGCAGTAGTGGGAAACTGCCAGGGAGGGGGGGTAGGATTGGCAGTTTAGGGAAACTGCCGGGGAGGGGGGGCACACACCTCATCAACAAGGGTACTACATAATCAACATTTGTATATCTAACCCTGAATTGTACACCACGTCTTTAAAATTAAAAATTAAAAGAGAAATGAACAAAATAAACTAATTGAATTAGGAGGAGGAAATTGCTGTAGATAAATAAGCAACAAAAAATAATTAGAAAAATTTTACAAAGGAAATTGATAAAATTAAGAAAGTACTTTCATAATCTAACATTAAGCTGGCTCTTGGCAATACCAGTAAAATTTGCAGACTTATGAGAAGTGTGGCAAAAAAGGAAGCAGTGCCCCTAATAAGGTTAGTTATTTAAAAGGGGGGTTCTAAAATTATTAAAATACATAACTTCATGCTGCCAATAAGTATTAACACAAAATGAATTAGTTACTTTTCAAGGAAAACAAATATAACTCAAAAAAGATGGAAAACTGAATTAGATCAATAACTACAGACGGGTCTGGAAAAGAGATGCCAAAGTTCTGTACCCACAAGAAGACATCCAGCCCTCTCAGATTTATGGGTGAGTTTTTAAAATTATTGAAGAGCTAATTGCTGTGCTTTAAACCCAAAGCACAGAAAGTGATGGATGAATTTTTGAAGCTAGCATCATCCTTGACATTCTTAAAAACATTTCAAATCACTCTAAGTTCAGCAATGACAGAGGCCAATGCATGTTCCTCACCATTGTATCCCCAAAGCTTGGCTCATGTTTGATGTTCACTTATGAACCTAAGTGCAAAGATCCTAGATGTCAGCAAACTCAGTTTGATTTGTCTTAAAGAAACACTTCTCTATAACCAAATAAAGTTTATTTTTTAAATGCAAAGATAATTCAAAATATAAATCTGTATTAGTTATGTTAATTAGGTTAAGGAGATCATCTCAATATCAAAAAGGCACTAAATACTAGTCACCTATTTTAATGAGATATATACATACAATAAAGCAAGTATAAAAAGTACCTCTTGTAGGGAAAAGGGAACACTTCTACACTGTTGGTGGGAGTGTAAACTAGTACAAATGCTGTGGATAACAGTTTGGTGATTTCTAAAAGATCTAAAAAATTGACCTTCCATATGGCCCCACAATTTCCCCACTGGGAATATAGCCGGAGAAACTCAAATCACTCTATAAAAAAGATACCTCCATACGCATGTTTATTACAGCATTATTTACAATAGCAAAAACATGGAATCAACTGTGCTGTCCATCGAAAGAGGACTGGATAAAAAAATGTGGTATATATACGCAATGGAATATTACGCAGCCATAAAGACAAAATTATGAACTTCAGTAACTTGGATGAATTTAGAGTTTATAATACTGAGTGATCTATCACAGATACAAAGAACTGAGTACCACATGTTCTCACTCATAAGCAGACCCTGAACAAGTATCATAACTCTATAAAAAAGGGATCGGCAGCAGTGGGAAACTGCCCAGAGGATGGGGGCATACCTCATCAACAAGGGTACCTGAATAATGAACATTTGTATACCTAACCCTGAATAGTACCGCACATCTTCAAAATAAAAAATTTATTTAAAAAGCACCACTTTTTAAAAATATGATGAACAACATACTTAAAATGAAACACTAGTGATTCTCAAACCTCATTCCTGAAATACTAGAATTTAGTGAGATGTTTATGGTCATTTCATGGAGAATGAGTTTTGTGGGCAAATAACTTTGGATAATAGATTGCATTTATTTGTAAATTGTTTTCATTAATTTATTTTTTTATTTCTGAAACATGAGATAGAGGAAATAGATTTTAAAATGTTTTCAACAGGATATCCCTTAAGTGAATGACAGGGAAGTTACACACATCAGATTAATAAGAACTAGTGACATGACCACTTCTTGCTGCAAGGCTGAGACAAGAAATCTCTAGCTGGAAAACTGTGTTAACACTTGGTGTCAGATTATCTATTTAGATAATACAGGTGTCAGATAAAACGGGTGATTAGCAGCTCTGCCACAGATACCATTAAAGCAGTTATCAAAATTATTATTGAAATTCTCATCAATGATGCCATAAAACAAGAAAAAATAGTGACACATAAAATTAATATTAGGTATACATGATATGGTTACCTGGAAAAATCCAAAAGTATCAAACTACTGAAATTGATCAAAGAATTCAGACAATTTGCAAAATTGACAAACATTTACAAAATATAATAAAATGATTAATAATAGCAATATGAACTATCTAGAAGTAAATTTAACATTTATTTATTTACAGAAAATCTGCAGAATGAGTAGGTAGAAAATCACAAAATTGTCCTAAAGGACACAAGATTTGAATAAATTGAGAGAAAATCTTTTCGAGATGGGAAGATTCTGTATTATGAGAATGCTGATTATATTCTAAGTCTGTCAATTCAGTGCAATCAAAATTAAAATTCTCACATTTTTATTGAATTTAACAACCTTATCCTAAAATTGTCTCAAGAATAATTGTATAGAATAACTTATAAAATTGTGGAAAAGGATAATATAAAAATTGCTCTAAAGAGTATTTGGTACTATAGTAATCAGAATAAAGAATCTAGTGATAGAACCTAAAGTAAGTAAAAACTTCTACTTTAAGAAAGTAGTAGCATAAGTGCTTGGTCTCCCTCATAAAACCTTAATAAAGCATGAGTTGAGAAATTAATTTTAATGCTGAAGTGACCCAAAGAGGGTCCATCAGCAGACTAGGTTTTTCGAAAATGTATCTGAAAGTTCAAAAGAAATATGGAAACCTGTTGACAAATGAGACAGATTATCAAAGTGGAATCCCAGAATTTGCAGGAAGTGACCAAAGCTTCAGAGAGAGTTGACTGGCCTGGCAGAATACCAGAGAGACCTCAGGCATAGAGTTGTCTGGTATAGTACAAGGTGGAAATGAGAAGGGGCTAAAGATGTCAATTTAAAACCCCTTTAGGAAAGTGCTGCCCTTCAGTTCCTCCAGATTCCTTTCTTCAACATTCTCTCTCTCCACCTGTGTCTACTACCACTTAAAAATAAATGAAGAATCAAAACCATAGATAAGAAGAAAATCAATAGCATGAGAGAGAAAACTAAGAAAAATAGCTGTTTCAGAAAGATTCAGAGTCAGATAAGGAATTTAAAAAAAAACACAAGAAATTAATAATAACCTTTCTGCAGTAAACAAAATTTTGTATCAGAGAACATGATACTTTTCTGAAAAGGAACATTCAGAGAATAAGAAGAGACTTGAAAATAAACATATGATTGTACAAATTGAAATTATCATAGAATGGTAAGGTGATTTAATTGAGAAAACATCCT